TTCGTTAACAGAATATTTCAATAAATTATATGATGAGTCATACGACGATGAGTCATACTAATATAATTTTAAATAAAATAAATTAATTAATTTGTTAAAATGAAATAAAATAATAGAGTCAATAAAAGTGAATTAAATCATTGGCAAATTGCTTCAATAAGAATATGCGATGTACTATTGAAAGTTGTTTACAAATTGGCGGACTGCCATGAAATATGGTAAAACAAGATGGCAGGTTCCCCAACTCCTTATATGTTATACATGAAAAATATATGTAGATTCGTAGAAATTTCTGGACTTTCGGTAGATAGGGAAATAGATTGCTTTTTATTTCGTTTATTATAAAGCTGAAGGAATACAGAGGTACTGGAAAATGGAAGGATAGATACCGTATCGGCTTGCTTAGCCTTCAATCAAATAGTTAAAATGATTCCTTTAATAATATTCGTTTGAATCTCGCGCCGAGAATCTAGTGATAAAAAGAGACAGACATACTACCATTATATGTGATTTTCATGAATGTACTTAAGGAAGTCTGTTCGGAAATTGAAATCGATTGTAAATTCGTCTTTATAATGAAGCTCTTTAATGAGTCTTCAATAATTTGTATTAATGATTCAATTAATAATAATAATAATAATAATATCTTCGATAAATCTTTATGTATCAGACATGTAATTGCAATATTATTTCAATTGTTTAATTATAATTGCATATAACCATCTCAAGAGTAGACATAGATGCAATAATTGATCGTAGTAGATCGTAATAAAGAGATAGTAAGTGTAGTAGAATGTCGTTGCAAATCACGATAGTAGAGAAGTATGTAAAATAAAAGAAATAAGTACTTACCAATGAGTACTGAAGAGTAAAGTTGAAGATCTCCAGGGAGGACTGTCTACCTCGGTGACGTCGCTGTAGGAGAGTTGAAGGAGCCGGTGATGAATGACTGGCAGAAGACTCAAGTGATGATAAAATAAAACTTTAATATACTTTGTTCCAAGTACAAAGATTTGACAGTTCTCGGACTAAGTCCTTTTCGGCTCAAAAATAAATACTCGTGACTGCGTGAAGGTTATACGTTGAAAGAACTGAGAGTCAAATACGAAGATAGTCGCTCTGCATGGGTTTTTATAACGGGATTCCTACTTTTTGGGCAATTGTCGCAGAGTGGGAGCAGGTTCCTTTTCGCAGGGCGGAGTCTCTGATGATTGGTTCCCCTCTTAAAATTGGATGCGTGCGCAGCTTTTCATCGGTAGAAGGGTGATGCGTGCGCAATTTTGCGTAGGCGTTTGAACGATGATTGCGTCCCCGTTTTTGGGTCTTGAGGTGGTGGGGGAAGTAGAGTAGCCAATCAGGAAGTAGCAAAAATTCTGATGCAACCGGATGCGGTGAGTCATCGATGAGTCACTTTTGGCAACAATTCTTCTGATACTTGATATTTTTCTTGAAGGTTATCAGTGACATTCGATATTTTTTCGTATAATTTATGTGACAGGTGTCCTTCGATTACAATAGATTTGCGTCGCCAAATTATCGCATCGGCTTATCTTTAAATTATTGTAAATTATTTAACTGATGAGCTCATGGTCGAATCTTTGTTATAAACAATATGAATATGCGTATTTAGTAACGCATATATAGTATATGTAGACAGCTAAATAAAAGTATCTATAGTATGTGTACGTATAAGAAATATGTTTTACCAACAAGACTTCAAAATTTGTAAGAATAATGGAATTTAACATTTGGACCTCCCTATAGATTAGGGAGTCGAAAATATATGGAATTATGTAAAAACATGTGTAAATATTCGGCTGTGGTCCTCAAAATTTGGGTTTAAAGATTTATAATGTATCAGGATAGTATATTCTCATAGGAGGTATACGTCGGTAAGTCGGTAAGTTAGTATGTCGGTAACTTCTGAATTTAAATAAAATTAAAGTATTAGGATAGCATGTATATGAAAGAGGCATGCTCCTAGTGAAAGAATATATATAAATATATATATGTTTGTTGGTTAATATCTTTAAAATTAAAGTTTTAAAATTTTAAAGTATCAGGGTAGCATATTCATAAAAGAGGTATGCTCCTGGTAGAACGTCGGTAACTGGTAGGTCGGTAAGTCGTTGGGTTGGTAAGTTACCATAAGTCGGTAAGGTAGTAAGGTGTCGGTAACAATAAGTAGGTATGTTACCATAGGTAGGTAAGGTAGAAAAGTGTCGGTAACAAAAAGTCGGTATGTTACCATAGGTAGGTAAGGTAGAAAAGTGTTTTATCATCAGTCGGTAAGGTAGGAATTTCCTATATTATCATTTATTCTTGGTCGGTAAAGTAGGAATTGACTTTACCATCCCATGTAGAAAGGGTTGAAGTCTTGCAGGCTCTTTAAAAGTATAAGAGGTTACTATTCTGCAGGCGCTGCTTATACTGTATTAAAGGTATAAGTTTTTAGGCGTTTGTATATACGATATAGATTCTGTAGGCGCTTTAAGAGTATAAACGGCTGCGGTTTTGCAGGCGCTTAATAGAAGGAAGATCAATAAGGCTATTTAATATGAATTATAATGCTTTTCTAGGCAAAAGAATATTGTAATAGCAGTAATTAGAGTGAATTATTTGTATTATAGCGTTTTTGATACCCTTATAAGAGCTGAAAATAATATAAGATTAGTATTAAAGTATTTAATATAGAATTTTACTGTATGTATATATGATCAACGTTATATAGGCGCATTGAGAGTAAATAGTGTTGAAGTTTTATAGGCGCGTTTCATCTCTTAAGCCATGCAGGCTTATTGCAATTTATATTTTATGAAAAATAAGGCAAGAAGATCAATGTGCTATTTACTATAGAGTTTTAATATGAATTTAAAGAATCTTTTGCACATGTAATGTGGGTTCATTATATAGAATAATTAAATATAACTGAGTTTTCTTTATATAAAGAGTGAATGAAGTATTTTTAGAAATATTCTCTTTGTATGAATAATACAGCATTTTGATCTTCTATAATTTTATATTATTATTCGATTATATAATAGCAAAAACTAACTCGAGAGAGTGTATAAGTAGTAATGTAATGTGATTATATATTGATTATATATTTAAAATAAATTTTTGTAGCGGGACGTAACAGTAGAAATGAATGCTTTTAATCCGTATAACGCACGCGTATGCGACGTACTAAAGTGAATTAAACGCTTTTTTTCAAGATAGCATGCGATGATGCGAACTACTGAACTAAGTAGAAATGAATGCTTTTAATTCGTATAACGCACGCCTATGCGACGTACTAACGTGAATTAAACGCTTTTTTTCACGATACCATGCGATGATGCGAAGTACTGAACTAAGTAGAAATTAATGATTTTAATCCGAATAACGCACGCCTATGCGACGTACTAACGTGAATTAAACGCTTTTTTTCAAGATAGCATGCGATGATGCGAAGTACTGAACTAAGTAGAAATTAATGTTTTTAATCCGAATAACGCACGCTGTTACGTCCCGCAATAAAAAATTTTCAAAATCTTTATATTATACTATATCGCATATTAAAATTCCAAATCTTTACCTACTATTGTTATATAATAACGTCTATATATATATATCTATCCCTCGCTGATAGCATATGTGCAGTACACTCATTGAAAGTCGCTGCAGAATACCTGAAAATTATAGAAAATATCAATAAAATGTTATAATATTATCATATCGTTATTACTCTCTATAAAATTTCGTTATACTAGTGAAACTAACCGTAAAACTAGGAATAGCAAATATATTTATAAATATATATATATATATATAGACAAAATCTAACAAAATGAACCTAACCGTTATCATTGGAAACTTATTGAATAAACTTTAATTAACTATATTGAAAATCATAAAGCCATAATAATGTAAAGAAGTTCAAATCTAAAATATATAGATATTTACAAATATCTCTCATTATTCGAATAATCAATCGTAATGAAACAGATTCGATAACGATTCATTTTGTCAACAAAAAAAACGCAATAGATGAAATAACACAAAAAAAAACAATATATGAAAGAAAAGAAAAAGAAAATATATATACTTACGTAGAATAGATTTAAGTTCTAGTATCGTAAAGTGTAAGATCAATTATCCTTTCGATAAGTATATACAATTCACACTCTTCAAATGATTAGAATATTTTCCGCCTTATACGCGTATACTCGTACATAGATCCCCAATTTTAAGAATCTGTTGTTACGTTTTTGAGATTTCGTTGTTACGTCTCGATCGTAACTTCTCACGTATTTATTTGTTACGCAATTGTAACTTCTCTCTATTTTTTTTTCAGGGCAACCTGCCAAGCCGGCTATACCCTAGGACGCCGAGAGACTAAGAATCTTTTGCGCTTCTTTCAGGAGAGGGATTGACGATGGGAAATAGATTAGGTGCGTTGAACCTGACCCAATTTATCCTTTTTTGATCTGTTTTCTTTTATTAGTTTACTTCCTTAGAGCTTTACAAATTCTTTATTATTGTTATTATTGTTATTATTTGACAGTTGTAGATAGTGTATATCGTTATACGTATAGATGTGTGTATGTAGTTAATGTTCTTCTCTATAGCATTTCTAAGGCGATATCTAGATATGGTTATTATTCGCGGTTGTTGAAGAAATTATCTCGCTGCAAGTATTCGTAGATCTCGATAAAATCTTCGTCTGTTAGTCCTGCGAGGGGTTGGATACTGCTTGGTAAGACTAGGTCCTCTGGTTCCGGGTAGAAATTTGGTTCAGGGGGATCCAGAACTTGACCTGGGTTGGATGGACCAGCCTCAGTTTCTGTACTTTGTTCTATGGGTCTTCGTTCTTCCGGTATGGAAGGAAGATCTTCCGGGGTCCTGACCGGCGAGTAGCTGGGATTAGATGAATCCTGGATGGGGGAGTAATTGGGCGATGGCGGCCTGGCTCTGGGCTGTTGTTCCTCTTGAAGAACCGCTGGAGGGTTTCAGGGAGGACGATAAGGGTATGCGCGGGAGGGCGCGAAACTACGCACTGGAGAGTACCTTGTTACTCTGCTTGTTAAGTCGTTCTCGTCGGCAAACAACTGACGAGCTGTAGGGAGCCTAAGTACCGACCGGGAGGCACGCCTGCGGCGTATACCCGCGGCACGGAGGGAAATTTCGCGTCCAACGGAAGAAGTTCGGCGGGGGTTAACCATCTACCGAGGGAATACGACTATTTATTATGTTTGATGCGATTGATTTAACACAAAAGGGGTTTACTTACGATGATGCGTAGAAAGGTACCTGTTAAGATGAATGGTTTTATAAGGTAAATGTAGTCACAGCAAGGTGGTTCATAGAGTTAAGACGAATAATACGGCTTAACGGATTATTATGAGATAAACGAATGTAGATTATGATAGTATATCTCACTCGTTCTCATATCATGGTTGAAACGTTCGGCTATATACAGTTCATTGGGGTACAGCAATTAATGATTTATTTAATATATTTTGAATTTTTCAGGGGCATGCGGTTGCACCGAGAGGTCCGGAGATTCAGAGGGTACAGACAAGGGTACGGGTAAGAGCGGCTGGCTTACTTCAGATAAGTATAAAATTCATAAAATGTTTTGATAGTTAACTTGTAAGCCAGTGCATTAATTCTATTATTTCGACAGATCCTCTAGGAGCGAGTCTTAGATTCTGAGTCTAGTATCGATGTGCAAGACGTCACGTCACAGCGGCACAGGATCCACGGAGGAATTCTTTCAGAGAAGCTCTCCGTGAAAGCGGCAGAGGAGTAGAATTTGCTACTCAATGCACATCGAGTGACTAACTCGAACGACGCTACACTCTAGGATACGCTTCGAGCGTTCTCAGAGGGTCGGTTGAAATTTAAATCATTCACTCGAAAGAAAAATTTAAAGTCTGTATACGGACAGGTAGGATTCTGGGAAAATTGTCGTACAACGGATGATAATTTATCTAGCATATACTGAATTTCCAGGAGCATGCGGCTGCACCGAGAGGTCTGGAGATTCAAGGATACAGACGAGGATACGGGTGGAAGCGGCTGGCTTACTTCAGATAAGTATAAAATTCATAAAATGTTTTGATAGTTAACTTGTAAGCCAGTGCATTAATTCTATTATTTCGACAGATCCTCTAGGAGCGAGTCTTAGATTCTGAGTCTAGTATCGATGTGCAAGACGTCACGTCACAGCGGCACAGGATCCACGGAGAAATTCTTTCAGAGAAGCTCTCCGTGAAAGCGGCAGAGGAGTAGAATTTGCTACTCAATGCACATCGAGTGACTAACTCGAACGACGCTACACTCTAGGATACGCTTTGAGCGTTCTCAGAGGATCGGTTGAAATTTAAATAATTCAACTCGAAAGAAAAATTTAAAGTCTGTATACGGACAGGTAAGATTCTGGGAAAATTGTCAATATATTTAGAATAAATCAACCTAATATACGAAGTTATTATCAAGGTTGATTAAGAATGATTATTATTTTATTATTTCCTTACCGGATGACGGGATCAATGGATGAATGCAGGCACCGCTGCTCCTTCCCTGGGTTGCTCGACCTCGGTGAGAACCTGAAGAAGTGGCAAGGCAGCGCAGAGAATGGCCAAAGAGTCAGAGGTTGCTGGATGGTAGCACTTTATTAAAGTGTTAATGTTGATACAGCTCTCTTAATAGAGATTGAGACTAAGTCCCGAAAGAAAAAAAAATCAAAAATCGCGACTAAGTTATTTTCGAATAAGTTAAGGTGTCCGGTAGGCTTCTAGGTTTGTCCTCTTCGAGAGCTGGAGATCTGATGGGCGTAGAGAGAGCTGAGACACAGGCGAGTTAATGGCGCAGAGAGACACCGGCGGCGGCGGCGGCGGGCCTTATATACCTTCCTCTGGTTCGATGTTTAATGGTAGGGAGAAGAGGTGGGCCTTTTTGGTGATTGGTGGGTCGGCTGCTGAGCTATCCCTTCCTGCTATGAGTTTGGCGATGTGGTGGGTGAGAGTTTTGTGGTAGGGATTGCAAGTCTTGCGTCTTAGATTTATTAAATAATTTTTAGAATAATTTTTTAATAATGATTTTTAACAATCAGAATTTTTTATAATATCGTATTTATGTTATTAGAAAATTTGAGTTCGATTTATAACAATTGTTTTAAATTTTAAGTGATATTTTGGTAAATTCTGATGTATTAAACCATTATTATTACAATGATTTTTTACAATGGTGCGTATATAGTTAAAATTAATAATTAGTAATTAATTAATATTTAGTAAATTAATAATTAGTAATAATTAGTAAAGAAAAATTTAGCATTTGGATTGCAGATTCTAACGCAACGGATGCGAAGATGGCTTATCTCTTTTTCTAAAAATAGATATGCTGGATGTCCTTCGAAGAATGCTCACTGCATTCTTTCTCTTTATAAGACACATTAGTAACAGTAATATTTTTTAATGAATTACCTTTTAAAATTCGTTTACGTGGTTTAAATTGGCATATTACACGTAATATTCCCAGGTTTAATAATTATTAAGGTAATATTATTTCCCAGGTTTAATAATTATCTTAAGAATTATAAGATTTATCAATTTACAAGATATATTTTTATTTATTTTAATAAAGGCTTTAACAATTTAGAATTTTTGTGGTTTTATATGTATATATTTTAAAATTTTTCAAAGTCGACTTTTAATGATTACTCAAGTCTATGAATAATATTTAATAAATCTCTATAGAATGCGTTAAGCCATTATTATTACAATAAATTTTACAATAAGAATATATGGAAATAATTATCGCTTTCGCTAATAGTTATTATGTCGCTAAAAGAAATTTTATTTTTACAGTTCTCGGAACAACGTACTGAAAAAGCGGCTCGTTTTACTTCTAAAGAATGATCACGACGGATGTGCTCGAAGAATTCATTGCCACGCTCTACCCGTGCTCTTTTATTCAGAGGTCTCTTTTGATTCTGACAATATTTATTCTTTGTAAGCATTTTCATTTGGGCGACTTTTATATTAGCACATATATATATAATATATCATATGTATAGTATGTATTCGCATATTGCTTATGAAAATTGATTTCAGCAAGTTTTTACTGAATCGTATTTACATAAATCAATCGTATAAGATTAATAATTAAATTGTATTTAAAAAATTCTTGGGGTTATTAATATTAAAAAATTTATTTTGTTTTAATTAAAAATTTTTCCTTCCCCCGTTTTA